CTAATAATAATAATAATAAACTTTATTTCTATAGCACCTTCCAACAACGCCTTGCATTGACCAAGGTGCTTCACAAGACAAAACAAGATTAAAAACAGGACACAATAAATCAGTGCAAATTAAAAACACAGCGAGAATAAAAGAAGGTAAAAGAGATAAAATAAATAAATAAATACTAAATACTAAACTACTAATAGTTAAACATTAAAAGCCCTTTTAAATAAGTATGTTTTCAGTTTGGCTTTGAACAGAACCAGATCAGAGATGGCACGCAGCTCATAGGGAAGAGTATTCCAGGCTGTTGGGCCTGCAACAGAAAAGGACCGGTCCCCCCATTGTTTGCACCTTGAGCAAGGCACCACCAGCAGATTTTGACCAGCAGACCGTAAAGCTCTGCTGGGCTGGTGGACTTTCAAAAGTTCTGAAATATAAGGTGGTGCAAGGCCATTCAAAGCTTTAAAAACAAACAGCAGCAGCTTGAACTGTATCCTAAACTGAACTGGGAGCCAGTGCAAAGAAGAAAGGACAGGAGTGATATGTTCATATTTACGTGTGTTAGTCAACAAGCAAGCAGCAGAGTTTTGTACAAGCTGTAAACGGGAGATAAAAGATTGATTAATACCCACATATAAGGCATTACAGTAATCAAGCCTAGAGCTCACAAAGGCATGGATGGCCTTCTCCAGATCACTACGGCTAAGGAGTAAACTACTACTTACTACTTGTACTACTATTCCTACTTCATGGTTTTTTGCTTATCGCAGGGCTGCAGGGTACAGATCCCCCGCAATAAACGAGGGACTACTGTACTGTCAAATCAAAATTTAGAAATGGCTGCCATGTGCCAGTCCCCGTCAAAGTTTCTCAAGGAACTTTCTAGTCTTTTTTTTATAGTTTGTCTTCAATTTGTAGGACTTTTTTCCTTCATAAATATTTTATTATCACCTGCATGAAAAGCAGGCAATAATGTAAGTGCTTATGTGTGTATGTGTGTGAGTGTTCCATTTGTTTGTCTTTTACTAAAATATCTTATAAACCACAGGATGGATTTTAATGAAACTCACAGAAAGTAATTATTGGATGTACCTCTACAGCGAATTAACTTTTCAGTCAGCTTGATTCACGATGGCCACCACAGCAAATTCACCTTAGCAAACACAAAAGATGGCTACAACTCAAGTCAGTTTATCAGATCCTGAGCTAAGACTGGGTGTGGTAGTAGCTGAGAGTCATCTCTGTCGCATTATATGAGCGCTAACAGATCAGATGAACTCTTTTCTTCAAACTTTGACATTAACTGTAGGAGTCAGTCCTGTCCGCCTGTTGGCAAAATATCTCAGGAAGCAGAGGATGCATTTTCATGGAACTCTCAGAAAGCAAACACTGGATGTACGTCTTCAAATTATTTACTTGTTGAATCAACCCAATTCAAGATGGCTGCCACATCAAATCAACTGTAGCAAAGACAAAAATAGAAAAATCTCAGGGAATTTTACTGATAATGAGCTAAATTTGGATAAGGTAGTAGCCCCATCAAAAAATTAATTGTCGAACATTTACTTTGTGTTTTACTTTGTACACGCTTTAGTACTTTTTTCTCTCCAATTTATCATTTACTGTTTTTTTTCCATTTAAAACCCTTCCCTAGGTTAATCACACTGACTTAAGTGTGCGGCATCACGTCTATAAACTACGACCGAAGTCCTTCTGACACGACCTCAGAGCTCCCCCTGACTGAGATTTTTCACGATGATTCAATCACCGATGAGATAAACACACCACTGATAGAGCCTTTCTTGTTGCTTTGAACACACAAATAACAAACCTCTGCAGCCTCCGGGCTTCTTGCTGTGTCCTGAAGGTCACGCTCACCGTTCACCTGCGTCAAAGCCGATCAACCTCACATGCACTCGCCGACAAACCCAAAAGCACACGTAGCGGGGGAGACTCACAGTTGGTTCTGCAGTTCCAGGATGATGAACTCGAGCTGTTGTTTCTCCAGCGTGTGGGTGAGGTGCACGTCTGCCAGGCTCTGCTGAAGGGCTTTGTTATGAGACACGGCCTCCGACAGCTGGGCTTCTCGTAGACGGACAAGCTCTTCCAGGTAACCCTGATGTCATGGAAACACAGACACACAGACACTCAAACACTCCATCCCACAATGGCACGGCTAAATAAATATACACTGGAAGCTTTTTTGCACTAAATTCAAACAAAAAGCCTCAGAAAGACAGATTAGTTTTAGATGCAGTGTTTGTTGCAACAAACGGCACTCCTCACAGGAGTCATTCTCCTCTTGCATTTCACAAACCAAGCCCCTAATTATCATAAAGGCTTTAATCAATGTGTCACCCAGCCTTACGCAAAGCCACTCCTGCCTCGTCGTCAACACATCACGCACCTTTTGCTCCAGAGCCATGCGATACTTCTGCTCGAAGCGTTTGAACTTGCTGACCAAGTTGCTCTGCTCGGTGAAGATTGACGCGGCCGTGGCCGTTTTCTCGGGCGTGCTGCCCTCACTGCCGCTGCTCCCCAGAGTCCTCATCTCCTCCTCGTCGCTGCTGATGCTGTCTGTGCTGCACCAGGAGCCAAAGTGTACCCCTTATTAGTATGCATCCTGCACACATTTCACACCGCCTAAGATAAAAAAAAAACCTCCCAGACAAGTTGAAGTGTGGAGTTTTCAATGCATGCGCCAGAAATAAACCAGTAAATGTGACTTATATCTAAGACTAAGCTAATAATAGGAGACTAGTGCAAGCAGCTGAATTCAAGGCAGTTGTGTAATTCTGACTTTTAAACCAGATGTGGTTGTAAAAGTGTTTCAATTCAACTAAAACCTAGGTCAGGGGTTTGTAACTTGTTTGATCAAAAGAGCCATTGCTGCCAATTCACTCATTAAATGAAATGTGTGGAGCCGCAAAACATCCACTGGTGGACTGTGGGCCACTTAGAGGTCGTTGGAGGACGACTCTTCTGGCTAGTTGAGGTGACATAAATCTACAAATGTACAATTAATTTTTAAATTTATTGATATTTTTAAATTTTAGGGTAAAAGGAATTAAGGAAAAACCAAAAGTTGGGAGAAAATTGTCTCGCAGGCTTACGAGTTAAACATAAATTTAAAGTATGCATAATTAGACATTTTGCTGGACAAGTTGATTTATTTTTTATTTTTTGAGAGAATGTAAGCCTGGAGGTTGGATAAATGATGTAGCTAAATGTACTCAACACGTTTCGCTCCTTGTATTTATTGTATCTTTCACAAATCTACAGAAAATTGGCACAAAACAACTGATAAAACTCACGTTTTCTGTTGTGGGTATAAATAAATACAGTATCACGTTAGTTTTGGTCAAAGCTTCAAAAGGGCCACAGACGAGAGACAAAAGAGCCGCGTTTGGCCCCAGAGCCGCAGGTTGCAGCCCCCTGATCTAAGTGGACAGTTTGTTGTGTGTACGATCTGTCATTTATCTCCTGTTTGATCCCAGTGCACCATATATTATATTCTACAATGTTTAATTTGCTTACGTTATTAGTTGTTTATTTTTTGGGGTGACGAAACGAGATTCTGCTTTGGTCTCATGTACCTCTGGATGAACTTCAGGTAAGGTGTGTAATCGATCACAGCAGGGCAGCTGCCGTCCAGACCCTCGCCTTTGAGACAGAAGCTGAAGATAAAAAAAGAGAGGAGAAATTAAAACAGTCTCTCCTGCTCTGCCTTTCCTGTATTTAAAAGTTTATTGGTCGCTGCAGAGGTACTCAGAAGGACCGCTGTCTTTAGATAAGACGAGAGATAAGAGAAAATAAAAGCTTATTGTTGTGCTCTCCAACGAGATGATGGCGGCAGCTTCACATGTGCAGCAGGTATAAAAGCAAATACAATAGAATAATAGAAACATGCTGCACCTACTTATTTTCTATAAGGTCAAAAAAGTTCATTTAATTTTCAGGGTGAAGACTTTAACTGTTATCACAATGACTCTGACCCTCCACATCACTATAAAACAGTATTTATATGGACGTTAACAGACATAGAACTCTATAAAATGTATTTTTCACATTTGTACACATTTTATATTTTATTTTATAGACATTAAAATTAAATTATTTAAATGATTACTGTAAAAAAGGTCAAATTAAATTGATTTTTTTTTCTCCAGTGATTTTAAAACACACATTCTTGTAGCCACTTGCTTCAAAATACGATGTCAAGTACCCAAATCTAATGATATATTTCTAAATTCTATGACTTTATTTATGTTGTAGTCTAGATCTATACACTCGCTATACACTTTATGATGTATTAAAGTGCATATGGTCACATCATATAAATAAATAAAACTGTATCCAAATATATTAGTAATAAAATAATGTAGTAAACAGAGTTTTGTGGTAATTATGAACATAACTTGCCATGTTCTACAAACTAGGCATCATCTTTTGTTTCAAAACAAAATGCAACCGTTGGCACAAGTTTATTTAACAAATAATACAAAATCAGGCCAAAAACTGCTTTAGCAAAAACTTGCACTAATGCACCAAAAAAAACTCCGGTCCAACTTAGCTTTAGGAAATGAGTAAAAGTTTGAAACTTTAAAATAATTTTGCCGCACACATCTCAACGTAGTCGACAAACTCCTACGGCGTCTTTACAATCCTTGGGTTTCTTCCTCTCCAGATGAACGCCAACAGTGAGAGAACAGCGCGACGAGGGTACGCACCTGAAGTCGATGGTGTTGAGTCCAATGAGCGTGTCGGCCAACAGGCCCGCCTCCTCTCCCAGCATGATCGCTCCTTCCTCGTAAAACCTCCTGCGATCAACACAGGCACGCAGAATATTAGCGTTAATTTGATTTAGACAGGCGCTGTGCTGCAGGACGGTGTGTGCGCCTGCCGTTTCAGGTCACTGGGTTTCTATTAATACGACACAAAAACACCTGGCGGTTTTGAAGTCCTTCAGCGCAAATGAGATGTACTCTGAGAGCCGTTTCTCCATCAGGACCACTCTGATCCACGCCCTTCCCTGCACAGAATAAAAGACCTGAATGAGCAAAAACTGCGACGTTCAAACACGACTTTAATACTCTCTGTCTCGAGCAACATTATTACGTTGATTCAATGTCTGTTTACAATGCATGTGGGGTGTTTTCTCGTACTTTTGCACTTCATTTGAATAAAAACTCCACAGGGTCGATGCACAAACTGAAAGTCCTTCACAGACTGCTGTAAAGACATTTACATAATGTTTGTTTGTGTTTTCTACCTACTAGCACATCAATAAATCTGTTTCTTTTTCCCTGTCCTGTCTTTCCCTGCTGTGATGGAAAATCGAATATGATCCTCGGATGGTCGAGGCCGCACCTTCGCTCTCGATGATCGCACATTTTCCATGCTCTCAATGCTGCGGATGCAGTTGTGAGGTACTTTACTGCAGGCGGCCTTTATGTAATCCCAGAAACTCCGGGGACTCTCGTAGCCAAACCAAGTCATGTGACCTGGGAGAAAAAGAGAGAAACAGGGATTTGTACCAACATGTCCACCTTTTTTACCCACTCGATCTGGTGCAGCTGGTGCTCATCTCCACTCATCAATAGGCAAGAGGCGGAGTGCTCTGAACAAGAGGCCAGTCTGTCACAGGACCACATATAATAAGCTTTAATGCACTCACACCTAGGGCTAATGTTGAATCGTCAGTTGACATGGCATTCATGTTTTTGGACTGAGGGAGAAAACCAGAGAAGGACAAACACACAAACACACAGAGAACATGCAAACTCCACACAGAAAGGCTGCAGCTTCAAACTATCACCTCCTTGCTGCAAGGCAACAGTGCTACCCAACTAACCAAATGCCGTTAATAGCATTCACAATACTCTGCTGCATGTCATAATTATGTTACAAAATGTAAAGGATGTTCATTTTGGCTTAAACCTGACTGAAGCTCCACATCTTGCAGGTCAAGGTATTTTGATAAGTCAGGTGAAAGTCAAAACATGTAACCACAACCTCCTAAAACTTCAACAATATAAACTAGAGAAATTGCATTTCCTGCAAAAATGCAGTTTGTTGCTGAAGACCTTGCAGAAAAACAGATGAAATTAGCTAAAAAAAAAATTTTGAAAAAGCATGCTGAAGTGTAGCTGAAATGAGAAACAAGCGTAAGTTAGCAGAAGCAAGCAGAAATAACAAATATTTGCTGAATTAGGTTTAAATAAGCAGAAATGACCACAAAAATCAGGAAATTAGCTAAAAAAAACTTAATTTAGTTGTTTTTTTAAGGCTGAGAAGTAGTTGAAAATTCCAAATGAAGCATAAACTACCAGAAGGAAAGTGGAACGAGTTGAAACGAGCTTAAAAAAAAAAAGTGGAATTAGCCAAAAATTAAAAAAAAATCTAAATTTAGCAGAAAAACTGCTAAATAGTATCAGAAATAGAAGAAAAAGCTGAAACTAGAAGAAAAAAAACTGACAGGTGGCTAACAAGCTGAAATTACCAGAAAGAAGTTAATTAGGCTGAAAGTATCAGAAATTACAATGAAAAACTTAAATTTATCTGAAAACAGCTGAAATGAGTTAAAAAATGCTAAAAAAAAAAAAAAAAAAAAAAAAAAAAAAAGAAAAGAAAAGTAGCTAAACAGTTAGAAGAAGCTTAAATTGGCAGAAGAAGGCAGAAATAACCTGTTTACTGATAAAAGCAGAAATGAGCACATGAGCACAAAAAAGTGGAAATTGTCTGGAAAAAAAGGCTGAAATAAGCAACAACGACAACAACAACAACAAAAAAAACAGCTGAAAAGCAGAAAGAAGCTTAAATTATCAGAAGGAAGTGGAGAGAGCACATATTTAATGTATTAGGTTGAAAAAAAGTTTAAATAAGTGCAAAAACTGTGGAATTAGCTGAAAGGGTTAAAATTAGCATAAAACTGGTAAAATGGTAGCTGAAATAGCAGAAAAAGCTGAAACATGCAGAAAGGAGCACAAAACGGCTGAAAAAAACAGCTGAAAGTAGCTGAAAAAAGTTTAAATTTGCACAAGGAAGCTGAAAGAAGCTGAAGCAGAACAAAATGTGAAAGAAGCAGTAAAAGGTTGTAAACAGATCGAAAGATCTGAAAGATGTAAAATGAGCTCAGTTCATTTTCTATGAGGAAAGAAATGGCAGAAGGCTAAATATCACAAAAAGCTAAAGTTGTAGCAAAACCAAAAGTCATAGCACCCTTCTCCTGATCAAGCTGAACATTTTGATTTGATTTGTTGAAATAGCACAGAAGTTGTGGAAAGAGAAAGATGCTGAAAAACGTAGGGATGAAAATGGATCACAGTGTGAATGCTTCATAAACATCCACACAATAATCTTACGCTCTACTAGGTGTGTGTGCAAGTTTGTAGGTTTTTATGATCAGCTGCATGTCTGAAGAGGATTTTAGCAGCGCGTCGTGTTACCCACCTTTGAGGAGATGACTGAGGATGTGCTCCAGGATGGAAACAAAGTTAATGAACTCTGGAGACGAGTCGTCTATCGTCTCAAAACAGGAGCGGTCCAGCAGAGTCTTCACTGAGAACCTGAGCAGAACAGATGGTGCACACACAATGAGAATACAACCGATAAACAGCGACTTCACCAGTTTTACATGCACAAAGTAGGTTATTATAATTTTCTTCAGTTAGGCTTCAAGAAAGTTAATTATTGGTAAAAGCTCAGAGGCATTAGAGAATCGTTTCTTGCACTTGTTAGCTGGTAGTTTCTGCCACTTTTTCATCAAAGGTAAAATTGCAATAATTATTTTGCCGTTAGCAGATCTGATTTAATTCAAAACACGTTCAGAGGAATTTAGGTCACGACTGAAGACTAGGCCTTTTTTGTGTGTCCTTTTTGTTTTGTTGTTTTTAATGTTCATTTCAGGTTAGTTTTCCAAAGTTGTCAATATAGTCTATGTTTTTATACTTTTCAGATGCAGCGCAGCTTCATGGTTTACTGACAGAAAGGTTTTTGCAAACATTAATGGTGCTGTTTTGTCTTAAATAGTGGTATCGTGTTCAACCTGTATTTTTTCCTCAAAGATTTTCCCTTCTCTCACCAATTTTCTTCTCTTGGAGGCATTTTAGAAGTTTGAAATCATATGTGTCAAACTCAAGACCCGGGGGCCAAATGTGGCCCTCGTTGACATCTTATCTGGCCCCCTAAGATGTTATTTTAAATGTAAAATACTATTATCACTTTTATTTTTTCAGTGACCTTGTGTTGAAAGTAAATAGTTTTTCCCTGAAGTCCAACACAAAAAAGTGACAATATTTTTTTCACTCCAGAAACAACCTGATGAGTCCAATTAGCACATCAGAATAATGCCAAAATAAAACCGTGCACGTGCTGATCCAAAATCTTACAAAAAAAAATTTTTAAATCTTCTGATGCTCTTAGGGAGCTTGTCATCCTAAAAATGAATTAAACAACAAATACGAAACAATCAAGACTACTTAAGTCAGCAGTAAACCCACCATTAAAGGGTTAATTCAGGTCCTGTGACCACAAAAAATGATAAAACCTTGTTTTTTATTTAATTAGCTTCAGGAGCTAATTAGCACTTATCAAAAATTAAGCAAATGGTTTGTTTAGAGTACATTTCTTTATTGCTGTATATAAAAAAAACTTCTTAAAGTTCTTGGTAAGATCTGCTTTTATAAAACTGACCAATAGGCCGATTATCAAATGTTGTATTTTTGTTTGTGGCGGAAATGGATTGGACAAATGCAGACTGAAAAGGAGCTTAAAGCTAAAACTAATAAAGGCTTTTTTTTAACAAAAAGTGCTGGTGAGACAGCTAGAAACTACCGTACTAAAACAAAACTATGTAAAAAAAATAGGGAGCACGGATGTCATGAAAGACTAACGCTGAGCTGAAAAGAGACAGTAATGAAGACGAAACAACAAAACACCTGGGGTGATTACAGATCGGGAACAGGTGAGGGTGGCAGACTGAATGGAAAAACACTGAGGAAGCTGACAGAAGAAACAGAACAAGACAAAATGACAAAAGAATAAAGACTTAAACTGAGGAGAAAAATAAAACAACAACCACAAGAGAATAAAAGTAAGAGACAAACTCAAGCAACTAAATCAAATAACAGAAAACAAACTGATATTTTTATTTATTAGCACAAGAACTTTTTGCCTGGAACAAATAATGTAAGTAATTCAAGTAATTCAAACAAAGTGTCCAACAGAAATATAAAGAAGAATCCGTCATTACCACAGCCACACACCTATAATGTTTCAGTCATCAACTTGAAGCGCCAACATCCAGATCCAACCACAGCAGCGCTGACGAGGCTCTGATTAATCTGTGATCGAATCAGCCACAGTGACCAACTCACTAATCTGTTCAGCTAATCGCACGGGAAGAAAACGACACTGTGCTCTGCTTCTGGGATTTTAATCTGGGCGAAGCGTGTGCAGATTTGAACAATAAATAATCAAACTTCATATCTGTCGCCCCTCCTTGTTGCTAAGCAGCGGGATGATGACGAAGGGCTGCAGGCTTCCTGTGAATGAGCAGATACATTTCAGACGCCAGCTGTTTAGACGTTTAATCTGTTCACGTGGACTGAGCCTAAAAGGCACAAACAAACTGCACTTGTCTTGTCCTGGAGGAGATAACTGAAGCAAATATTAACCTTCCCATTGATTTACACTCACGTGTGTTCACTCTAACTCCATTCAAGTGAAACCTCCACACTGTTTCTGAAGCGAATAAAAACAACGATCAGCAGCTTCTTCCTTTTGCTAAAAACAGACCTTCTGAAACTTGAGGACCTTCAACATCTTCAGAGAAGGCCGAAGAATTCAGCGCATTTGAAATCTTACATTTCAAATGGTAATCTGATATTTGTTTTATATAAAATACACATATTCAATGTAGTTTTTCTTATTGTTTTGTTAGTTTGCCTTATTTTCTGTAAACTGCTTTGCAGCTGAGCGAGAAACTGTTTTATTTCCTGAAAATACAGTTCACCTAGTCTGGTTTTTTTTTTGTCTCCAGGCAAAAACATGTTTTAAGGTTCTTTATCATTAGTTAGGATTTTTCTGTCAGAAGAGAAGGCTGAACTCAGTCAGTCTCTCCAGGATGAGATTGTTTAATAACTGACAAGAAAATTAACCAATCATAATGTTTACGTAAAGTGGGTGGGACCAAAACATGGTGATCTGAGCCTTCGAGAAGGCCTTGCAAAGCATTTTTCTTTCTTTCTTTTTTTTTTTTTTGACCACATGAACATGTATGATCAATTCCACTGCCACCTGTAATTTCACAAATCCACACAAATTGTAGTGGCTCGTAAAAAAGTAGATTAAATATCACATTTATGTTTACGTTGTTAAATGTTCAATTTTAAAGTTGTGTCTTGGTTTCATTAAAGGATGAACTTGTACAGAAACGGTGAGTTGTGTGGGGTTTTGTTCAATTTCTCTGCAAATTATTAAAGTGACATGTACTTGAGCGCAAGAGGTCGTGTTATTCTGGGTAATCTTAGGGCAGAAATGGGTGGAGCTTTTCAAGTAATGTGATCAGATGGGTCGTCCATGTTGGCTTTTCTGTGTAGCGTTGAGCTGGCATTTATGTTCAGGATGTTAGTGAGTAAAAGAATGACAAGTCAGATGGCGTACTTGCTGGATAAAAACAGAAGCTTTTCTTGCCAGTGGGTTAATGGAGTGCAAAACTGAAAGTGAAGTGTGTAGTATTTAATAGGATGTTACAATACATGCTAACTGAAGGCCTCACTGTTATATGCATGGTTTGCCACTGCAGTGATCAGAAAGCTTATGACAACTTGTAAATGACTCAAAATCATGAGATTGTTATTAACGTATCTGTCTTGCTTTCTGTCAAAATATGCATTTATTTTCTAGTTGGCTGCTTTTGAAAGAAGGTTGTTGCAACATCAGATGCAAACTTCCTGCACGACTCTGTCCAGTGTCTGTGCGTGAGCAGCGATCATCTGACAGATCTGGTGAAACTCCTGACTGAACGTGTTTTTCCACATAAAGGAACTTCAATTCACAGTTTGTTCTGCGAAGAGCTAAAGTTCAGCTTCAGTGTCATGAAAGACTAGTCATGACCCGTCAACTTGTCAAGTCATGTCAGTATAAAACTACATGTTCTTTTGAGCCAGAATTACTTTTTGGGTCAACACTTTCCCCGCACTGTTACCAAACACTAACACTGAAATGTGTAAAACTTTCCAAATATTTTTTTTATTTCTACTTTCGGCTACTCCCTTCCTTCGTCACAGCGAGCTAACATGACTTGGCAGTTTTAAGTTAAGGGTCTTGCTCAAGGGCCCACAGTGGGGCAAATGAGGATGGATGCACATGGGGGTGCTTCACTTGTCCTACCCAAATTTTGACATTATGGTCCAGGGATTTGAACCTGCAACCTCACAATCATAGGCTCACCTTCTCTAAACCCCATTTTAAAAATAATCTTTGTTTACTCAGAGTTTTAATTTTGTCATTGTCATGTAATCAAGCAGAAAACTGAAATGATCTTCGACTAACCGCTGAAAGGTGGACAATAATGTAACTGCCTATGTGTTTGTTAGCACAATATCTTATGCTGAACGGATAAGTGCATGCACAGTACAACTACAGCTGACTGACTTCTGGAGTCAACCCATGGCTGCCACTGCTAATCGACCTTGGCAAACACAAATAAACGGCTTCTCTAACTGAACTAAACGTCGGCATGGTAGTAGCTGAGAGCCATCCCCAACACATAGTCCAAGCACTTATAGATGTTTGTTTAAAATGTTAGCATGCAAGAGTTCTTGATATGTGTAAACCAGCTCTCTATACGGACATGTCAGAGGATACTATGGAGATACAGGGCTCCGTCACAAGCTCTTATAGTTACCTTTTCATTGGAAGATCATGCATAAAACTACAAACAGACGTGAATAAAAAAAAGAAGAGGAGCTGCATGTTAGGCGTCTTTCCTTTCATTCAGTATTTTATTCAGTGTTTTCCTCACTCCCTGATGTTTCTTAAATACCTTGTTTTCTCGCGTCTCTTCCCTGCTCCCCTTGTGCCAGTCATTAAGTTGATGGCTGCTGCGTAGGCAGGAGGATCTGGCAAAAGATCACCCCAGTCAGCAAGCAGCCCCTTATTTATATAATTAGTTTATTTGTACTGAAATTGTAAATTACACTGCAGCACTAAGACTGTGTGTAATTGTTAAATTATGGTACACTGCTTTAAGACATGTACTACAACTGGTGGAGAATTACAAGATGCTCTGCTGAGCAAGATAATGGAGACATTTCCTTACTTTTGTATTTTGTTTCATTACTTGTCGGCTGTTTTAAATACGCAGGGCTTTCCCATGACATCTGCCAGCAGAACTCAAAGGGCCACAAATCAATACACAGAGACTTTGCTCAGCAGATGGCGTGTGCACTTCTCATAAAGTTTTCAACATATCCCTAACATGTCATGATATAGTTCATTAATTCACCAGGCCAAAAATGCACTGAGTTCATGCTCTCTGTGTGATTAGTACTTTATATACTGACGTTTAGGTGATTTAACACAGTGGGCGGGGCTCAGGACAACAACAAAGACGTATAAAACAATATAATGTACATTCAGATACATTTCAAAAGTGTTTAAATAAACAATGGAGATGTGGTCTGTAATTATGTAATGAGTTGGGAAGAAATGCAGGTGAAATGTGATGTTATGAATGTTTAATGAAGGATTGAGGTGTGTTGTTCAAATACATGCAGACTAGGCGAGCCATATGTTAAATCTGAGCTCATTTAAAGTGACATAACCTCAGTTTATATTTATATATATATGCGATTAAAATAAGTTATAGTTCTCCGTCTAAAGCTAACCTCCAATATGTCAGAAGCTGCCGTCATAACATCAATGGCAGACGCGGTTTGGTCCATCACAAACCAGAGTTCCCACCTGGACACCGTCAGCAGGTTCCTCCTCTCCACCGCCGAGCTCCTGCCTGCTCCCCGCTTGCGGCTGAAATGCTGCCCCGCACCGAGCGACGCCATCCCCGCTTCCGCTCCGCGCGCTGTTCCCTCTGCGCGAGGGAAGGACCCGCGGCGAGGAGGAGGACAAGATGCTGCGTCCGAGAAGGAGGAGGAGGAGGAGATGATGCCGCTCCGAAGATAAAATGTGCTTCCGGTTGTAACTTTCGAAATAAAATGCACCGAAACCGCCGACGAGCGCGATAAAAAATACGCTTCCGGTTGAAACGAACAAAATAAAATGCTCAGAAACAGCTGACGGAAAAAAAAAAAGATTAAAATGCGCTTCCGGTTGGAACTTACAAAATAATATGCATCGAAACCGCCGACAAAGAGAGAATATTCTATTGGAACTTTCAAAAGAAAATCCTCTAAAAATGTTTTTTAGCCTATAATATATATTTATACAGTTTTCACACATTTTTATGCTGTTGTTTTTTTTTTTATCTTTTTGGCATATGTTTCCATCTGATACATAAATTGATAAATAACTGATAATCGGGGTTATTTAACGATGGTTGAGGTCATCATGCGGTCAAATAGCGCCATCTAGTGATATTAATCCTAAACAACAGAGTCTTGATGCTGTTCTGCGTCATGCTTTTTCATTCATTCATTCATTCATTCATTCATTCATTCATTCATTCATTCATTCATTCATTCATTCAACCTTTATTTAGACAGTTTAATCCCAATGAGCCTCGAGGACTCATTTACAAGAGAGACCTGATTGTTCATGAATTGTTTCCTTCTTTTGTATCTTTTCCTCATCCTGGACCTACAAGTAAAAAAATAAAAAAAAATTAAAAAACTTTTTTTAAAACATTAGACTTACATATTTCAAAGAGGTGTCCAGGGTGTGCACTTCTTTTTGCCAATGAACTGCTGGGAAAATCTAATATTTTTTATTATAAAAACAGACGAAATAAAAAAAATCCCATGCATTATTCCATACACATATGCATTTTTGACATTAGGTGATTAAATTTAAAAAAACTAACCTGGATCTATTATTTCATTCTTATACTGCTCTCATAATATTCAAGTTTAAAATCTAAAGGCAGCAATATTTAATTTGTCCTTAATACACCTTAACCTGAAATATTCCATCATAAAGCATCATAAAACACAGAAGCTGGCAGCAATGTCTCATTTTTTTTACCATATAGTACAAAATGTGTTGTGTTGGTATAAGCTAAATCTACTCCACGTTTTTATTGATTAAAAATGTGGCTGTACTGCAATAGTGTAAAAATAACTCTGGCATGTAAATAATGTCAAAGGCTTCACTGGGGCCACATCCAGACTGAGACTAGCTCACAGGCACGAGGCACGTTGCTAAAATTAACCGGCCGACAGAAACCCGCCGGGATTTTTAATACCTGTGTCCAAATGACAACACACTGTTGAAGAAGTCGGTTCAGGACGGTCGGAATCCTGTGATTGATTACTCAGTTAAGTAATATCGGGTGCCACATTCGAGGGGGCCAGTTAGTACATTCAACAACCGCAGCGATATTTTCTTAAAAAGGTCTTGCAGTTCTGTTCGGAAACACCAAAGAAACACCCATTTGAATACGACTTGTGTGTAAGTACAGTAAACCCTTGGTTTAGTTAAAAATGTGGAAAGTAAAACGGCAGGCTGCAGCAATTAATGACAGTTCTTGGCGATTGAGACTCGCAGCCAATAACAGAGCAGCTCTCAAACCTAAGCAATTGCCTAGCAACGTCTCAACCAATCACCGCAAAGCGTTCTTCCAGCTGATCTAATCTAAGAATAACTGAAGCGTATGACTGATCCAATCTAATGACAAGAATGGATTCAATTTAAATTCCGTTCTATTCATATAGCACCAAGTCACAACAGAAGTTATCTCAGGGCACTAAACATAAACATTCACACACACACACACACACACACACACACACACACACACACACA